GACCAATCTCATTAGACGAGGTCTGTTCCTCTTGTGCCATATCTGGGCTAATGACATGATCAAGTCCCACACCAGGCTATTTCTAAAACAGGAACAAGTGACTTGGAGGATACAGGAGTATTCCTAAGATATCTTAGAAGGCAAGAGGGCCTCTTATACCATTGTCACTTTTTCCACTTTTCCCCTCTCTTTCCTTCAGAAGGAAAACTATATGGCAGGACTCCCACTGACGGGGAACTGCTAGGGGAATTAACCAGGGGGCTGAAGCCTGCATAGGTGCAGCTTTCAAAGGCACAACTGTTCGGGATCCCTCATTCCAGGTTTTCAAAAGCCCACAAGGTTAGCCTGGGAAGCACACACATATTGGGCTTGGGGGCGCTTCTGTACATAAATTCACTTTTTTTTTTTCCTTGTAGAATGTAGCACAGTCACGCAAGAAAATAGGACATGCATTCACAGTAGCCCAGAAACCAGTTTGGGGAACAGAACTTCACGATGAAGCATACTAGATCATGACAATCATTCTCTTCTTAGCGGCTAAACGAGGCTACTTCGCAATGTTGTGTTGAGCATATAGCTATGTGGGCCAAGGTACTATTTTAAAGTCTTTTGTAAACTGGCTATTACGTAGCAAAATCGTGTGTTCTGACTAGGAATTATCTGCACTGTAGAGTCTTTGTTTAGAAAAAAACAGTGGCGATACAACACCATTTTGGTCAATTTCTACCATTATATTCTCAGAAGAGACAAATTCTTATGTCTGAGTTGTTTTATAATAGACCTACTGTGGGTATTACAAATACAATCATTGACTTTGTGCCTATTAAATCTTTTGTTTAAAAGGAATGTTTCTCATCCTGAAGTAAAAGTTATCCAAATTTTTAAGAAATTCAAACTGAACAAAACCTCGGATGTTGTGATGATGTCTTAGGTATAACTGAGCAGCATCTTGTGATATTTCAAAACCATTCTCAAGAAAAACTGAAAACGTTTTCAGGTAAAATTCTTATTTTCCTTCCCTGAACTTTTTTTTTAAAACCTCAGATGACCCTGAGCCTATCTTGACAATGCTTAGCCTAGAAGAGCCTAACATTAAACTGATTTTCTCTGATCTTTTTCTTAAAAATGTTTCAAGCTTGTAAAAAACTGTCCCATTAGTAGAAGGTCACACTTCAGCCATATAATAAATATATCAGATTGGAAGAGAGCATCTTAGTAGTAAGCTATGAATTTGGGTCAGAATAAGATTCTGAACACATTTATGAGAACTTTTCATTACTTTCTAATTTCTAAAGCTAATTCTAATTTCATTTACACTGTTAGATTTGACCAAAACATTTTTAGTGAATAAGATAAACATATCTTTACAAATTTTAATTTATTTTATACAGATGACCTTTAAGAACAAAAGAAATACCATAGTGTATAGATATGAGGGATGTTTGCTACAAAGGAAATGTATACTTAACTTTTATTCTCTGGAAAAGAACACATTTAAGTATTGGGCTAGTTCCCACTGAAAATCATAAATTCAAAGGTACATTAATATGTCATTACCCTTTAAAAATACCTAATTTATCCCAGTCTTGATAAAAGTGTTACTAAATACCACAAGAAACCTGTTTAAGAAATTAAAACTTGGCAAGCTAAAAAGTTTTGGCATTTTTTTTCTTCAGTGGAATGAAAGAAAATGGCATTCAACAAATTAACTGCAGCTGGGCCTTCCACTTTGCCTACACTCCCAAACCCAACACAGAAGCAAGCACAGCTCAGCAAATACACCTTCCGAACAAGCCTAATCCGTACAAGACATGGGGTCCAAATCAGAGCTTGGGGGGTCTGCCCTGGGTCAGTCTTGTGAGCTGGGTGTGTTCTCCAGGGATTGTTGCATTTTCTCTTCAGCTTTGCTTTCCTTTAGGCAAATAAAGCCAGAGCTCTTCTAATGAATGGAGAACATCTTTTTATACATTCCCAGTTCAGCAAGACAGAAGTTGTTAGACATTCAGGGAGAAGCTCTGATGCAACACTGGTGCTGTTTGACAGCATTTCCTCAGTGCTGAGAAACTGGGTCAGGAAAAGTTTACTAGTGATAGCAGCCTACTAATGATCATGGTAGTTGTGTTCTAGCAGTAAAAAGGAGGAATAAGGGGTCAGAAACTAAGGGAGGGGGTGTATTTAATTTTAGAGGATTGGCATTTTATAACTCAAATTTAGTAGAATTTCATTAACCTTTTTTGGGGGAGGCCTCTGGACTCAGGAGCCTAGCCATAATACCAGTAGCAACACATGGCATTTTTAGAGATGATGTTAGATTTAATACAATAGAACAAGCATGTTATTTCACCACACTTGAGCCATCAGCGACAGGTCTAGAGTCCAACAGTGTGCTTTTTAAATAAGATGAATCACATGTATTTTCAATTATTTGTGCAAAAATGTCTAAGTGTAGGCTCTAGTGTTCAAAGCCCCAGGGTTGGTGAATTCAATGGGAAACACAAGTGTGCTTTGAGTGTGATGAGGTTTCACAATGCAGGTGATGGCTCGCAGACTTCACAAAAGTACCAGAGTGGGCTGGGAGGGTGGTGAATGTAGAAGGAGAAGAGGGGTAGCATCTTTGTCTTCTGTTATTTTCCCACTTCTCTTAATAGAAAAGTGCACACAGGCGAGTAAATGGAAAATAGTTGCCAAAGGTTAGCAGAGAAACAAAGCTGGCCTCTAGGTGGTGCTTGAAAGCAGTTTAGGGAAGGCTGGCACCCTTCCGGTGAAATGGGAATATATCGGATGAACCTCAGTAACCTGCAGGCTCCAGGGTAATGTCTTTGTCCCACTGTTACCTGTACTGCAGTCTCCACAGGTGGCACACTGGGCCGGTTTCAGTACATTTCTTTTTTCATCAACTCCTGTGCCTGTTAAGTTTTGTATGCCACTTGTAGCTTATGGTGATGATTTATCAAAATCATCACCATTTAAAGTCAACAAACAAGGGGGCAAAACACACTTATTCAAAGAGCTTTTGCCAATCAGGTCATTCTGTCACTAAGCTTTACTTAGAAACAGCTGCCTGCTTCTCCCAGGTTCCTATCTGCCCCGCACTGCTGTGTCCGGATGGAGCAGGTGACCTGCAGGAGTAGCATTTTGTTTGCTTACAAGGAGAATGTTTCCCAAGGCAATGTTTTATCTATTATTATTATCATTTTGGTAAAGTTTTTACAAGGTGTTACAGCTGCTACATTTGATATCAAATATTTAATACTAATCTGTAATTCCTGTTAAACATTTGCCATTAATAAAAACAAAGACATCCCTGTCCCTGCGTAAATCATAACAGAATGTGGGTAGATGTGTGAATCCACACAAATCTCCTATTCATGCTCACATGTTCGCCGAAAAGGGAAGCTTTAGCATAACAATTGAAGAATCTATAGATCCAGGCCAATTTTAACATATGCTTTTTTTTATTAAATATGTAAAAAGGTCAACGCAAGTCAAGTTATTCACATATTCAGAGACAAAATACTATTCTACCATGCAACAATAGGTGGGTAATGTAAAATGAATGTGATACATCTGAATAAGACTTTTTCATCTATTATGTCATTACTTATCTATATTTATAATTAACAATACATATGTTTACATTCCTTTCAGTTTACATTTAATATATAACAAAAGCTTTATGGTGTACTATTTAGTAAAAGTAATCTGAATACATATTAAACCTTAACGGAATAATGAAAATACTCACCAGGGAAGGAATTCTTGGTTCCCTTCTGGAGTTTACTTCTCTCGGGTCAACAGAGTGTTTGTGTCTTTTTTTTTTTTTTCCTGCTTTTCTGCTTAGAATAAACATGGGCTTTCTCTTTGCCCCCTGCTTCGATCACTTCCTATCTGATGGTAGCAGTGGAAGTGCTATAACCGGCCAGTAGTGGGCGTGGCGGGGAACTAAGGATGAAACTGGGCTTCCTGAGAGGGAGGAGCAGAATACACACCTAGGGACACTTCTCAGCCCAGCCCGATGACGTGTGACCTGGGACCACAGAGCAAAGTGTGCTCCGAATGCCGAGATGAGAGAACGATGGGGTCCTACCATCAGGGGAAAGGAGTGGTAGTCTGCACAGAGCCGAAGTGGACTGACTCAGAAACTCAGCTGTTACAGATTCCCCAAAGCATCTGTGACATCCTCTGGGGTACAGCACAACAGAAGATGTGTAAGATGGGGACAGAAAGAGGAATTTACAGCTCTTCTCTAAGTAAATAAATAGTCTGCCCAAGCCTTCAGGAAGGAGAATGGAGTATGGTGACCAGGGAAAGTTCTCTTTGTAGGCTAAGCGACCTGGCCAGAGGGTTTATGGCTGAGATTGCGGAGCTGGACAGAAATGGAGTGGTTCCAGCAAGAGTCATCGGGGAGGCTTATGCAAGTTATACAGTATTAAGTGGTTTCTGGAGAAGACAGGATCTTGACTCCCTGCTACCCATTCATGGGCATCCACATGGCAGGAGTATGACTGAGATGTCCAGAGCAGGCGAAGAATGGCCTAGGAACCACTGAAAGATCATTGGCATGGAGTTATTTATTGTGTCCTCTTTATAACAGCTATTTAAAAAAAAAGAAAATCCATGAGTACAACAGGCTCAGGAGGGCAACACGCCATGAAGCATGATGCTACGTATAGCACAGCCACTACCTGTGACCAGGAGTGGGAGGATGTCACTGCTGAGAGCCAGGCTGTCCAGCCTTAGAGAAATGAGCTGCCGCTGTAATGCAGAGTGAGCAGGAGAGAGAAGAAAGGGAAACCAAACACCATGGAACATCTGTCCAATTCCGCACAGTGTGTTGTAATAATCTCAAAAATACAAGCCATCTTTTCCACATAGAACTTAATAAATACCACCTTGCTGCAAAAGATTTATTTTGGAAAGACTTCTTTTGGTGAAAAGCTTCGATGCCAGAATTTAGAATTAGTATTTCATCAATTAATAAAGAAATTTCAAAGCTTTATGATACATAATTCAGAAATTTATTTTAAGCTTTTCAGTTAAGCGGAAAGTGGGGTGGGCACATTTGTTTTTTGTTTTTGTTGCACCTGCTAAGTCAAATAACAAGTGAAAGTAAATCTAAAGTCAGAAACCAACTGAAATGAATGATCCAGGAAGGGAAACCATCTGTTGAAGGAAAAAAAAAAAAAGGCAAAGATTTGGAAAGAGACTAAGAAAATGTGCAAATATTAGTTAAAAAAATAAGGAATGCCTTTAATTCATTAATGTTTCCTCTATTTATGAATTGCCATGGTTTAGCAAAAGGTCAATGACAAGGAGGGCCCTTGTGTTAAAGGGGGGAAATTCCTTATTCCGGAAGATATTGGGAGTCACAGGTTTTTCTGTTGTGTGATTTCAGTGTCAACACCGGACTGCAGGACTATGGTTCTCCCTTGGAATTATGCTCCTATTAATAAGGTCTTTACTTCCAGCCTCCTAGCAAGCGTGAGCATGACACAGAACCCTGGAGCTCGGAGCTGCACACCCTGGAGCTATCCTTCAGTAGGAGTCCCCTAATGTGAATGACAGTTTTGGGGCTGAAACCCACATGAGGAAGAGGGACAAGGCAGGAAGATCTATACCTATCCAGACCCCCTTTGGACTGCAGATGACTGATGACAACATCTTGGGGAGAGTGGCTGCCCACCAAAGAGGACCCTGAGAAAGAAAACAGCATGAGAACCCGGGGCAGGGGGAGGCAGGGGCACAGGGTGAGGGGACAAATCTGAGATGGTGTTGTCCTTAAGTGAATGTCTTTCAAAGCTAACAACATACTGTGTGGTTGTCTAACATGCTGATGTATGAACTTCACTGGGCCCTGAACTCCTAACTTTGAATCCATTATTTTTTCCCTTTAGTGTTGTGAGTAGAGGGAAAAACTGACCCTATGTTTTTCCCCATGACACAAGTCACTGTCGTTATGGCTTTCATATCAAGTATCTGTTTCCCTTTTTCCAATTAATTATTTGACCAATTTTACGTTCAGAGGTTAGACTCGCAAACATCAAAGCACCACAAATGCGTGTGACAACTAGTGACACTGGGTTGAGAAATGCCAATATAAATACCATAGATCAAATTACCATTGTTTCACACCAGGAAAAAAAGGGGGGTGGTGGTAGTGGTGTTGGGGTTGGGGAGAGTTGTTCTGGAAAGAAATGAAGGAAAGAGCAGAACCAATCTCAAGCAGCCAAGTGGGAAGTTGAATGGATGTGACCCTACGATCTCTTGGGTAGGTGGCCAGAACGGCCGCCTGCTAACACATCTTGGCAAAGGAAATGGGAACCGAGTGCAGTGGCTGGCGTATGCACAGTGCGCTGATAGTAACGGCAGATTGGGAACAACTGGTTTCTGTTGAGCTTGAGGCCACACATGTTCCAATTCTCCAGAAGAAAAGTTCCCATGCACAAAAGAAGTGTCAAGAGCTGCCAGGACAGGTCAGTACTCTTCTTGCTGCTGGAGCTGCTGCTCGTGGACCTGCTCCTCTGCTTCCGGCTCTTCTGTGTGGCCCTCCTGCAGGGGGCAGGGGAGAAGTTTCAGCTGAAATAACTTACTGTGTCTGAGGCCCTGTGGCGTCCCAGCCCATGGTAACGGCCTATGTGGTGTCTTGGGACTATGGAGAGCACAACTTAGGCACAACTCGCCATGCAAATGCCCCCCAGCTCCCAGGGGCTGACACACACGGGGACACCTTAGCTTCCCTGAGCCTCCAAAGAACAAATCATTCTCCAAAGCACAGTCCTCAGGCTTTAAGTGCCAAACTTTTCTTTTCCTTTGGAAGGAAACCTTCCTAGAACACATTACACACTTTTCTACCCTTCTATAAAAGAGTAAACTCAACACAATGACCCGAGTGTCATGACAACCACGGATGAAGCTGCTGTGACATAAATGGCACCCTGGCCCCTGCGGGGTGTCGGGTGGTCACCCCTGGTCATGTCTGCCTGAAGGAGACCCTCTGTTATAATCTGTTACGAATCTGATGTAGGCTTGGACACCAGAGAAGCAACTTGTTAGCATTTCTGAGGGTCAGGAAAGTATTTCAGCCATGGTTCAGGGACCGCCCTGGCAAGGAGGCCCCTCCCAACAAGGAGGCTCAGGATCTTTAGCTCAAAGACTTTGGGACATCTATTTAGGGTGCCTGAGGCTTTCTGGCATACTTTCTGCTTATTGACTGGGAACCAGATAGGTGAGGCATTCCTCTCCTTGGCACCGCATGTCCTATTTACTGCTGTGCCTAACCCAGTGACGCAAACCACGGACACCGACTCCAGGGGGCATCAGCCTTAGTCAGCCACGTCTGCAAATCTTCCACGTTCTGACCTCACAAGGAATAATCTGCTCTTCTTACCCAAGCAGAGGGGGCACAGCTAATCAAGAGGAGCTCAGTGCTCCCTCCGTCAGGGTGCAGGGCTTCTGCCCCCGCTTCCTGAAGCCTAGCACGAACCCGCTGGTAGCCAATTCACACGCGGTATGATCATCTCCCCAGATCCCCGAGCCAGAATTCCTTCTCTCCCTTCTCCTGCCGCACTTGTTTTCTTCCTCTGCTAGGAAACTGATTTGGAAGCTTGTTTGTCTTGAATCTTTTGGCCTCCCCCACTGGATCCCTAGGTTACCAGAGGCAGGAACAGGGCCTTACTGCCGTCCGGGCCACACCTCACTTACTGCAGGACTCAGTCTGTGCTGTGTTGAGAGGAGGAATCACAGGGGGTTCAAGTGGATGACCAGGACAATCAGACTACCAGCCAAGGCCACTCGCTGCTTATTTCCTGAGAGGCAGTAAGTGTAACGTCAAGGTTATAGGCATGGACTCTGGAGTTCACATCCTGGCCTGGCTATTTACAGCTGTGTGAGTTTGGACACGTGACTTAACTGCTGAGTTAACTGCTGGGCCTCAGAGTTTTCTCACCTGCAAAATTGGGGATAAGCGCCCCCACGAACAGAGTTTCCAATTCACTGATCAATGAATCAGTGCACTCATTGACTCCAAAAGAGGAGTTAGTAATTTAAAGTAAGTGCCGAGAAGAGTGTTTGGTGCGTAGTAAATATAAATGTGAGCTGTGATCATTATTTCTTAGTGGGAGGACTCTTTGAAGTATATTCTAGAAGCACAAATAATTTTAAGAAAAGTAACCCTTTCTGCGACAACCAACAGTAGAAAGTGACATCACATTGAAGACTGGAATCAAATCTGGCACTGTCCCTTGCTGGCTCTGTGCCAAGAGGCACATTATCTAGTAAATGTGAGCTTTCGCACACCTGTGACCACCCTCTGGTGTCACCACCTGGAACTGCTCCTCCTCTGGAATGTGAAGGCCCAGCCTCTACTCTCTCCGACCATGCGTCCTTCTGACCCCTGCACTCCCTGATTCCTTAACTGCAGATGCTCTTTGATCTCTGAGCCCCTCTTTACTCTCGTTCTGCCAGGTCGACCCTGGGCCCCCAGGCATTGCTGCAGCTGCAGTCTTGGCAGCATCCTCTGCAAGCAGCTTTGCCCTCTGCCTGGCACACGTGAGGGTAGTCCTCTCAGCTCAAAGAGTTAGGGCCTCAACTGGCAGAAGACCACACACCCTCATGGGAGCAGAATATTTCTTGCTGGGACAGGGCCAGGCTGGAGACAGTCAATGGCCTCCCTCAGTCCATGCCCTCATCTGGGGAAGAAGAATGAAACCAGTGCTCGTGGGAGTTTAACAGCAACGCTGGACAGGGCACTCCCGGCTGTCTGTTCTGCCACATGCTCCTCTGAACTATGAAACACCACTCCTCCCTGGAGCCTCTCTCACTGCCTCCTCCCTGAACTGACGGTTCCTCTCTCTAAGCTCTGCATCCTTGGTTCTTGCTTCTGTTGGAGGGTGCTACAGCCCTGCGTGTGTTCCTGCTGGGTGGCTACACAGCTGTCTCTCCAGCTGGGCTCCGAGCCCCCGACGGGTGAGTTATGTTGTTTTATTCATCATCTGAACTCTTGAGTGCTAGTGTGGTGTCTTCCATATTGTACCGCTCAAACTTCAGCTGGCCTGAAGTACGCTTTTCGTACATAATTGTTTTTGTGCATGTTAGACTGCTGAAAGGATCTCAGAAATGAGGATCTGTTTTACATTTTACAGAAAATCTTGTTTGCTCACATCAAAATTGGGAGTTAACTGTGGGATAATGGAGTTAGCTGAAGTTGAAAGATCTGGATTCAAGTAACTGTTGAACCTGTAAAAAGCTATAGGACCAGGAAACTACTAGGCCGGGCTTTCTTTCCAAACATGTCCAGCGAGTGGGTGGGTTCGTTGTCCTTGTCTATGGCTCTGAGGTCTCCAGCTGGCCAAGTGCAGCTGCCAGCGCACACCGGGCTGATGTCCCAGTCACAGGATACTGCCACCAACGATGTCGTACATCTGCAGGAACTGTGGACTGTGGACCATGGACCCCTCTTTCTGGGCACTACTAGCCTAAAGAGCAAACCTCCCAGATTATCAATAGATTGCCAGTGCTTGGGGTGCAAATTAAGGCAGTCTGGAAGTCTGGCAGAACACGCCTGTAATTCTGAGATATTACACATCACAGCTGAGAGCTCCCAGCCCACACAATGCTATTGTAGGCTCACAAAAAAAAAAAAAAAAAAAAAAAATCTTTTTCGTATGCCCTATATGAGAATGAAGAACTTAATCCCACATATAAGTAGGAGGCCAGGCAAAACCTATGCCAAATATGGGACTAATGTAGTGGAGTGTCAGTTAATTCTAATACGTGCATATCAATCCATCACATCTTTCTAAATGTTTAGCTGTGAGTGACTGTGTTACAATTCTTTATTCTTCTGATAATCATTAGACAGAGAAGCAAGTTGGAGGACAGTCTTGAAGAAGGCTCTTGGCCACTGTGGGAGGAAATGGGAACAAAGGAGGGACGAGGGGCCCTCGGGAAGCCCCGATGACACCCTGCTCCTGCCGTGGGAGGCAGCACTCCACGGCGGCATCTCCCGCCACTCTCGCCAGCTGTAGCGGCTGTTCTTCCGTCTCTGCTTTGTTCATGCTCTTTCCTCTGCCTGCAAAATACTCGAGCTTAGTTCTGTAACTGCTGTCATTCCCAGTGTCCTTCAGCATGCAACACAAATGCCATCTCACTGCGAAGTCTCTGCTTGGTCCTCCAGGCTGTTTTTATCTGCTCCCCGCACGAGTTTATTTATGTCTGCATTATCACATGTATCATAATCTGACACATATTCCAGCTAGTCACATCCCTGTCTGTCTTCCTCGCCGGGACCGTGAGCTCCTCAGGGGCTGGTGGGGGAGAGAGCTTGTGTCTTTTTCTATATACCCAGTGCTTAGTCCAGTCACAGAAATATTCCAGTGACAGAAACACAGCCCACATCCAAACAGTGTTGGCTGAAGGAGAAACAGTCTTTAGAAACAGTCCTTAACAATGGCTTCCATGGCAGCCAGTACCTCAGCAAACAAGTGTTTATAAGCTGGTGCACCTCAGCTGACAGATTCCACGAGGGAGCAGGTAGCCAATGACTAGGCCTAGACACTTGTGGCCCTAAGTTAAGTACTAGGGGAAAACAAAATGAAAATGATAAAGATCTGCTCTGGAAACTTCTATTACATTTCTATAATTAGGAATTGAAACACCTCTGTGGACTTCCCTACTCAAAACTCCCATCCGGATTTTCACATCTTCCAAACATCATGTTCTAGGGTGGCTTGACTACAAGAATCAGAGACCAATCATCACTAAATAAAGGTGCTAAGCTGTCACTTGGGGGGTGGGGAAGAGATCCCCTCCGGCAAATACGCCTGCCTGAAACGTCAACGTGTGCCCACCTGCGTTTAACTGCAGAGCATGGGCTACAAAACCCAGCCTCCTAGCACCTCAAGGAGGACCCTACGAGAGGCAACCAGACATCGCTGCCACTGCAGATCTGTGCGCACAGCCGCACCAACAGCATCACGAACAAAGTGCTGACATTTCTTCCCATTCGCCATGTGCATCACGCCCGCACATGGGTGCAACTCTACCCGCCACCGGGGTGTGGGAATGGCCTGAAAACAAGACACAGCGTCAGGGTCAAGCATGGTGGGGCAAATGGAGGACTCCCAGAGCTGGCAGCGGGGGTGTATGGAGGCCTCGTAAGCAGTTTTTAGAAAAGTGACGCCTTTCCAGACCACAGACACACAGGGAAGGCGGGCAAGGGTGGACGCTTTAGCAAGGCTCACTCCCCCAGTGCTGGAACCCGGCTGGGCTTCTGGGAGGCTGCCAGAGAAACAGGATTCGTTATCCGCAGGGAGAAAGGCAAACGCTTGAAGGCTTTACGATATCTAAGACGATTCCTTGAACCTTAGCGGGGGAAGCAGAAAGCAGAGCAGGCTAGCTGCTCCCGAGCCTCTTCAGCAGAGTCGCGCGCGCACGCCGCGTATGGAAAGCACCCAGCACAGCGTCCAGGCACACTGCAGTCTTCTCTTTCTTTCTGCACAAAAACCAAGGTTAAAAAAAAATGGGTCTTGTCGTATTCTAAACAAGGACACCTGGCATATTCTAGAACAAACAGTTTATTCTCTGTAGAATACTCAGTATAGCCTGATGTTGTCTCTTTGGGAGTTTTCCAGATGCAAAGTTGCAACAAAAAAAAATATCCTGGAACTAGAAAAATTAAGCCAGCAATTGCATTTGAAGATTTTGTTCTGGTAACCCATACATGCAGTTTATGTTAAGGCTAATATTTTCTCTTCCAGATTCTAATTGGGTACTCTAAGTAATTCTCCTCTTGGATTTTGGATACTCCTTAGCATACACTTAAATGGTCTTTCTCTCTGGGGAGTTATTTGGAGCAAATCCAGGTAGGAATTTGACTATTTCCCTTTTCACACCACAGGGTGTGTTTAATTGAAGACTTTCCAGTGGACAGTCTGTCTTGAGGTTTTCCCCAAGTAGTATGACTTTTATTTTCTTCTTGTCCCATGGCACCCAATATGCCAAGAGCAAGGTAACACAGTCCTTAAGATTTGAGGCTCTGAGTTAGATAAACCTGGGTTCAAATCCTACTGCTGGAGCTTATTCACTGTGAGTTGCTAGGCAAGTAATTTCATCTCTAAAATGTGGGTAAGTTTCAGCACCCCCCCCCCCACAGGGATGGGGTTAAGGTCAGAAATGTAGGTAGGACATGAATATAATAACTAGCACATGCTAAATGCTCAGTAAATGTTAGCTATTACTACTGTCATGATCCCATTTCAAGGTGGCTTAGGCTTGGAGAAGGGAGAGCATGAAATTAGGGTTCAGACTTTAGGGTTCAAATGGAAATTATGCCACTGATGAACTTGGGAAAGGTATTTAAACTCTCTATTGCCTTAGTGTCCCTCATGTGTGCAATGGGATAACAACAATATCTACCTAATAGGATTCTCAAGAGCATTAAAGGAGCTAATAAGCTAACACACATAAAGCCCTAGGCCTTTTCCCCTCAAGCCTCATTCCAGGTGTCCAAGGACAGGACGTGCTAAACCCATTATTCAGTCATAATGACTAATGAGGTTTTAAAGTATTACTTCTCCCTGGGGTGTCTGCATTTTAATAATAGTTGCACATACACTGCAAGAAAGGCTCTCTGAATCCAGACAGCAGCAGGGCGGTACTGGGGTGTGTGGGGTGTGCGTGGGGTGGTGGCAATGGGAAAGGTAGAACATGTAGGTGGATCCCCTGAAACCACACTCAGGAGGCAAAAGCTCTTGCAAGGTGGCCCGCTGACCCTTAGCCAGGCAGTCAGGGGACTGTGCGGACTCCTCATCTGGAGTTCACTATCAGGTGACAGTCCTTCTGCACAAGGACTCCCTCTTGAAACAAAATCTGGCTTGAGGTTAGAATCAGAAGGTTTTCCCTTGTGCTGGAAGTGCAGGGCTGGGAAGAAGATTCGATACTGCACACCAGCCTCACTCCCACCAGCAGGCATTATCACAGAAAGACGACAGCACTGCTCGCTGTGTAGACCTCATTCAATTTAGCCCTGAACAAGCTAGTGAAGAGGGTAACCATAATTCATCCGGTGCTTGACAGGCTACCAGCACCCTGTACTTAGAGAACGTCACAGACGCAGACACACTGTAAATCCGCCTCTGATCTTCCATCAGATACGAAAATATTGAGAGCTGTATTTTGTGAAGCCATCACAGCTTTTGGGGTCTAATCAGGTGGATTCCCAGGACTTCAAAATCCACATTCTGAGCTACTGATGACCAAGAAAGAAGTTAAAAAAAAAAAATCTGTACTTGCTTTGGCACTAAAAAAAGAAAAAAAAAAAATCTGGGGGAAATGAAAAAAAAAGTGGTGGTGAGCTCCCAACCCCCAGACACGGTTCCTCACAGTTTAGGAGAATTTCACTGCTAGGATTTTGAGTCATAAATAGAGCAAACATGTGCCTGGTATTCAGCTGGAATAAGGCTTGCTACACTCTGTGGGAATACCCCCACACACAGCTCCACCGGGAGCCCGAGAGCACTCAACCCAGAACGAGGAGAAGCTCCACAAACCAGCCCCTCGTCACTTGCCTCCTACAATTCGCTCTGGGAGGTAAAGCCCCGTTGGGCTCCTGCTCCTGCCTGGCTGCCCGGCTGCTCCCTCCCGGCACAGGCAGGCCTGGGGTGACCTGCCTCGGTCTCTGCCATCTATCCTGCCCCTTCCCCTCCTTGCTTCTCGAGATTCTGTTCCTCCCCTGCTTCTCACATCTGCTTTCAATCACCCTGCCAAAGCCACATCCAGGGTCTCCCTCGGTGCTCACAAGAGCACTGACTCTGGTGGCAGGTCCTCCCCACAAAGGAGGCCTTCTAGAAGTATTTGCAACAAAGGGTTGTCCCACAGTTCTGGTCTGTCCAGGCCACGAGTAACCAAGACAACCAGCTTTGAAATAAAAACAGACAGTTGTGGGGCTTAAGGGGATGGGGAAAGCATCTAGATTATTTTCTCCTCTAACCACACTCCAATCTTTCATGAAGAAAGAAGAATCCATATATAAATTCTGACTGCTCGCCTGCTCAGAGAGCTGAAAACCATTTGGGATTTGGCTGCATGAGTGTATTTTTCTCTGTCAAAGATCTTCCACCCATCTCTTCCCAGATTAATTTATGAATGCATGTCTCACAGGCCTGGGCCAATGGATCGTGATGACAATGTTTATTACTCTGGGAATCTCAAATGTGCTTAGCTGGGCTGTCATTCTCACTGAGGTCCTGGGGAGGTTATCTAAGGCACGTTGATCCACTGCACTTTGACCAAGAGTCATTTTAGAACACAGGAGCCAAGGCTGCCCACACTCACGTGTTCATCTGAAGCATAGAGCACTTCCATTACTCGCTGCACGAGGTCATCATTTTCCTGCCCGTGTTCTTGGCAGAGTAGCTCGATCTCTCTCAACTTCCCAAAGTAGAAATCCCTTTCCTTTTCCACGCCCTCGAGGGCAAGTTTTAATGAATGTACCTGCAAGGGAGGGAGGGTGGAGAAGAAAAACCCAAAATACAGTGTAAGAAACAAGTGACCAGTTATACCTGTGAATAAAGATCCAAAACATATAGAGAGAGACCTGCAGAAATAACCAATGTGTAAGTCTGAGGGCTTCAAACAACAGGGCTGCTGTTTGAAGCTTGAGTCTGGGCCAAAACGTCCAGTCTCCTCAGAATGCTAATCATTCCCTTCAGTCAAGTGAGCGTTTATTAACTGGGGTCAGAGCGATCGTTCTGCTTGTAAGGTCTCACCCAGGCTGGGAATGTATTTTCCTCTCTTGCTAACATGGGCTGGAACACATTGTTCTCCTAAAACTTGTTGCTATGGTCTCAAAGTTTGTGTCCCTCCAAAATTTATATGTTGAAATCCTAACTCCCAAGGTGATGCCATTAAGAGGTGGGGCCGCTGGGAGGTGGCTAGGTCATGAGGGTGGAGCCCTCACAAATGGGATTAGTGCCCTGATAAAAGAGACCTAAGGGAGTCTGTTATCCTTCCAGCGTGTGAGGAGGCGCCGTCTATGAGGAATGGGCCCTCAAGCAGACACTGAACCTGCTGGCGCCTTGATCTTGGACTCCCCAGCCTCTAGAATTACAAGAAATAAATTTCTATTGTGTATAAGCCACCCAGTGTACGGTATTCTGTTACAGTAGCCTGAACGGACTAAAAATACTTGTTCATAATCTGATTATGAGGGCGGAGAAGTAAAAGAGAGAGGCTGTAAGTGTGGCTATTTAGATGTATGGTGGGGACCCCCCTTTCCTCAGATCACTCGCATGAAGAGCCACCCTTAGCTTTTGACACCTTCACCAATGATACTGAGCCAAACAGAGACTTATGCTCTCTACCGAGAAATTGGAGCTTGGTGACACAAGGAACACTGAAAGTCTGGCCAAGTGGATCTGTCACCCTTTCTCTAGTTCGGGGTTTGGGTGTATCACTGGAAAGGCAGGCAGGTGTGGAAGCCCCATTCACTCGCTCAAACAGCTCTCATTCCCTCTTTTTCTTCTAAATTCTGGTTCTAGGACCTTCCAGGGCTGTGTAGCTTCTCAAGGTGGTTCCAGAGATCATGCAAGCAAAGGGGCAAAAGTCAAGAGAGGGCCCAACAATTCAGACACCCGGGGCTGAAGATACTCTGACAGGGGTGTCACTGGATCTGGTCTCAAATCCCGGGCTGCCACACTCCCACGGGCACAGCAACTACACACAGGCCCAAACCGTCACCCCATTTCTGGTCTCTGAGAATCCCCCCATTGTTTTTATATCCTTTATTTATTTATTTTTATGTATAGTATATTCTTTAGGAAGTAAATTAAGTCTTTCACCGTCCTCCTTAGGTGAAATCTGTCTTTTAGTATATTAAAAATCACCCTCGACAGGATTTTTAAACATTAGTCTTTTTTTTTGAGACAGGGTCTCACTTTGTCACTTAGGCTAGAGTGCAGTGGTGTCATCGTAGCTCATTGTAACTTCAAATTCCTGGGCTCGAGTGTTCCTCCTGGTTTAGCCTCTCCAGTAGCTGGGACTACAGGTGTGCACCACCACACCTGGCTAATTTTTCTATGTTTTTTTGTAGAGATGGGGTCTCGCTCTTGCTCAGGCTGGTCTCAAACTCCTGGCCTCAGGTGATCTTCCAGCCTCAACCTCCCAAAGTGAGGCGTGAGCCACCAGGCCTGGCCCCAAAATTACATTTGGAATGTAAAATTTTCTTCTCTCTCTTTCCAATAATTTTGGGCCTTTGCACATGCAACTTAATCTGTCTGGAATTACCAATTCATTCAAACACATACTGAGCCCATGCAGTGTCCATCGCCAACCAGCTGGGGGCAGGCTGCAAGGGAGAGAGGGATGGATACCTAAGCGCCACGGATCCATCTGCGGGCACCAGCACAGGGCTGAGATGGATTCCGTGGCCAAAAAACCCGGGGAGCTCCCCTTGGATCAGGCATGCACACTTCAACCCAGGGAAACTAGGTTTTTCTGCCTCCTGAGTGTTTTCTCTGTATAATGAGTAAATAGCTGAGGCTTTCGTGGAAATACCCAGCCTAAGTCAGGCTTTGGTGACACTGCACATGCAGTAGGTAACAGGTGCTCGGCTATAGACATTCCCTGATAAAAACCATCAGTAGCTAACTTACATGATGAAAGATCAATTAGCAAGTGAAATTCCACTGTCGTAGGTCCACTCACTAACACTGATGCCAGCCTCATCCCTCTCACGTCGTGGCAGATGCCTATGCGATGGAGGAGATGCTGGAGATGGGTCCTTGAGAGAAGTCAAGGCCAAGGAGGGGAAGTTCTCCTCCTCTCACAGTTCTCCCAGCTCCTCCCAGGGAGTCCGCAGACTACAGGTCCCCCCAGGCCTTGCCTTCTCAGTGACAGCCACAGTCTCTGCCTGGGCTAACCCACCCCCTATCACCCCTCACCAGCGGTCCCTGAACACGGCAGTGACCAGTGACTCCAACACACTTCCTGTTGGCTAACCCACTGCCAGAAAGAGCCCCTCGTTATTTTATTTATGTCTTTTTCTCCCCTATGTCTCTCGATTCCTCTCTGTCATTGGAATTGCCTGGCACAGTGGTCCCCCTACAGTGTATCACGGGAGATTGCCCGAGGAAAAGCAGGCGGCCAAGCAAACGAAAATCCTTCAGGTTTACGGCCCTGTCGCTTTCCCTTTCGCCACTGTGATGCACCCTTTGCCTCGGCATCTCACTCAGCCTCTGCTCACCCCAGGTTCTCAGTTCCAACACTGTGATACCTGTCGGCCCCCGCCAGCCTCGGGGGACATCCTGTAGGCTTCAAGGACAGAGAATGCAGAGAGCAGTGACAGTCAACCATGGAGATGAATGCGCAGTAAGTGCTCAGTAAACACCTGCCGACTGATGAACTCACAATTTTGGGTGTGTCAGGCCTTCCCTGTGAGGGAGGGTGGGGAGGGGGCAGGCACATTCCTCCTGGATGGGAAGGCATGGGGGGGCAGGAAGGGGGAGGGAGGCCTTTTGGAAGCAATGAAGGGATTATAACAAGGAAGATCCCTGGATTGTTCCTCTCTCTGTCCCCTCTGGCGTGCATTTTGGAGGGCAGGGTGGTTTAGCTGAGGCGTTTTCGGGGTCTGCATCCTCTGGGGATGGAAGGCTCTTTGTGTGATGGAGAGCTCATGGAGGCCTCGAGCCAGCCCCAAGGACAGGAAGGGGGCTGGCTGGGGGCAGGCTGCAAGGGAGAGAGGGACAGATGAGAAGGACCTAGAGGTTTCCATGTGGTTATAATTTGGGCTGAAGGGGTGGGAACCTGGGTGTCGTGGAGAAGGGAGAGAGAGGAGAGGGGTCATGAAGAAACATGAGATAATAGAGATATCAAAAGAATCTGAACTCCTTAGGAGAAAAGAGTTAAGCAATTGTCCTTTGGCATCCGAGGGAGACTGATTCCAGGACATTCTCCTCAGCTATCAAAACCCACAGATGCTCAAGTCCCTGATATAAAATGGTGTATCTGCATATAAGCCATGCATATCCTCCCTTATACTTTAAATCATCTCTAGGGTACTTACAATAAAACACACCATGTAACTGCTATGTAAGCAGTTATACTGTATTAGTTTTTATCATTGTGTTGTTATTTTTTATCACTGTGTTATTTTTTATATTTTCAAAATATTTTCCATCATGGTTGGTTGAATCCACGAACGTGGAACTTGAGGATATGGAAGGCCCACTGGAAATCCAAAACATCACGGACCCACCGCCTGACTCTTAGGTCTACTCTGATTTGCTTGGAGCCTTAGGCCCAAGGCTTATTACGGCTTATTACAGCTGTCTTTACTGCCTTTTATCCAAGAAGTCATTACTGGAAACTCTCTATGGGCTCAAACTGACAATCAGCGGGTAATTAGAACATTCCACAGTTTCTAAATCCAAGTCCTACCCACTGGATGACTTAAGGTTTTACCTTTCTCATGAAAGTGATCAGAATTACGCCCTGGGTTAAGCAACTGCCTGCTTTTAAATTAGATTCTTGATTGCAAATATACAGTTATCTCAAAAATTGTTTCTAGACTCTTGCTGGCTCATCGAGAATCATATTATTCACCAGGACTGGCCCCGTGAGTGGCTGAGAACCACCTGAGGACCTTGAAGAAAAGCTCTTCGCACAGCGGCAGGGTAGCCAGGGTAGGAGATTCTCCTCCACACCCTGGGGAGGCTGGGGGGCTTCTGCAGTGGCACTATGCTACCCACTGTTTTATTAAACTATGTGTATATAATCTTAGGCAAAATTAGCTATCATTAGAAAGTGTACCTAAGATTTTATAATGACAATTTCAAAGACAGTGGAGCTAGATTTATTGTATCCGTAAGGAATATGAGATAAAAAGGAAAGTTCTCCTTAAAACACAACTGCAGCCTTTCAGATCCCCCCAATATTGGGTTTGGTGCTCCTGTAGCATCCAACTTTTGCCACTGTGGAAGTGTCAGGATTTTGTTTGCTTGTGTAATGACCTACTGTGTGCAACTGCTGCCTGTGAGTGCTGTGAGGGAAGGGAGGGCCTCTATCTTGCTGCCATTGTAATACTAGCATGTGGCACAGTTATCTGTCACATAGAACAGGCTCAACTAATAGTTGCAGAAAAACAGGAAGGAAGAAAAAAGGGAGGGAAAGAAAGGGAGACAGACTAACCCTAAAGCGGCCTTTATCACTGCCTAGACTGGCCAGAAGTGGGCGGGATGGGCCACAGTCCAGCCTGGAGCTCATGACAGCCACTGAGACATAGAGGAGGGGAGGGTGGCCTGCAAGCCTGCAGCAAGGTGAGCCATTTGTGCCGTCTTAATGTACAGCTTTGAGATTTGTGATTACCATCTTTTATTCATCATGGGCTACTGATTTCACCTTCCTGAACAATTCTTTTTATTCTTACTTGCTTGAACCCACTGACTACACCTCATCTTTCTCTTATCCCAGCCAAGGGGTCTGGCCCCTCACGGCTTACGTCTGTTGCTGCTCCCAGAGCCACGGCCAGGCACGAGGAGTTACCTGTTCATTAAGCTGTATGACCTGCGTTTCTAAATCTTTATCAGACTTGGATGCTGAGCTGCTGGATGAAGCCCTTTTGGCTGAGGAGGGACGAGAAGGTGTGGATCCTGGTTTAGATGCTGGACTGGATTTAGCCGCGCCTGAAAGCAATCAGAATAAATTATACATATTGGCAACATGAAAAATGTTTTTTAGATATACAGCATATGTATGACATAAAAGGAATTTACTAAACTGTAAGAGATACCTCCAGTGATCCCTTCCCATGCAGAAGGGAGTACAAATATGCTTAGAAAAAGTGCACACGATGAAACGATGGTGTTGTCTTGGGCAATCTATTTAACCTTTGTGAGCACTGTTTTTGCCTCAAGTAATGTGAAGTTAATGCAGTTGTCCCTTCTCTCTCCAGAGAGATAAGAGTAACAGAAACAAAAGGATTTTAAATTTTTTAAGAGGAAAGCCTTTTAGATAAACTCAATCGCTCTACTGAGTTTCTAACAAACAAGAGACCTTGTAACAGATTAATACGTTAGATGAAATATCAATATGAATGTATGTTTTTTCTCTTTTAATGTATTTCCTAGCTTTAGCCACTGAAAGAGCCTAGGAGCAATGCCATCTCCATAGCAGAGAGCACTCCTGGTGCCCAAATCTTGGTTTCTAAATATTACTCTGCAATAAGAGGGCTTCTGGAGAAATAGCTGATTCCAGGGATGGGGCAGGGAATGTTCGAGGTGAGCTTAGGATACCCTGTGTCAAAAAGCAAGGATGTACTCAAGGATTAAGGTCAAAAGGACATACGGGCCGGCTTAAAGGGGCTCCCACCTAGTCACACTTGGGATAGTTTAGTTTGCATATCAGGAAGAGTAACGGCTGGAATTTATTGTAATGCATTGGATAAATGGAAATCTATCAGTCTATGATATGAGGGGGGAGGAGGACAGGGACAGGGAGAGAAAGAATATAAAGATCTTCTCTACATAACACTGACAGCCAGTGAATGTAGAAGAAATGTTAGAACTAGAAAAATTATAATTTTGCAACATCCATAATTAGTAACTGATTCAGGAAAGGTTCATCAAACTTTAGGTGAGAGGTTTTCGGGGAACAAAATATTTACGCGTGTCAAGGTATTATCCTACAAATTCCTCACTATAAAGGGGAAAAACATACCTTTGTAATGGGGAGATCTAGGGGCTCATCACCTTAAGCGAGTGATCCACTTGGCATTGCTAATAATGATATAAAGTAAAAAAAAAAAAGACCACCGGTTTCAGGCAAGACCTTACCTATTTGGAGCTCAGCTCATGAAAGACTCTCACTATCCAGAACACGGTACAGATGCGAGAATGGCATATGTGGCCAAAACAGAAGTCACAATGTAAATGCAATGAAGTTTATGTACTTCACGATTTAAGAAATTCCAGATCATCACTGCAGCCCACCCATCTCCTTTTCCTCTGAACACAGCCCCTGGTGGTGGCAGCTCTGCTGTCCCCGCCTTCAATCTGGTGCAGGTGCTCCTGTTGGCCCACTTCCCCACTGCACCCCTCCTTCCCCTGCTACTCTTCTAGGAGGTAAGGAGGGCAGGGAACACGTCTTATTAACCCCAGAGCACAGCACAATGCTTGGCTGAACACGTATTTGGTTAAGGAACAAATGTTTAAAGTAAGTACGTGAACAAGTAAATAAAGTCTAGTGATGTGGTTTCTAATTTTATAGTTTATCAGTACCAGCGGATTAGAAAGAGGCAGGTATGTGGCAGCAGTTACAAGTTTCAACCAATATCCTAATTACAAAGCAGCAAACAGGAAGACTATAAAATTTATATTTGTGTGTCTTCAGGTGCCTGGAGTCAGTTACAGAGGCAAGTCATGCACACCCCCGAGAAGCACTGACAGCATTACAGCCTTTAAAATACGTGCCTCTCTGTCAAAAAGAAAAAAAAAAGAATGTTCTTTAAAAATACAGGGAAATGCCAAATATACTTTAAAATGAGAATGGTTGAATTAAGAATGCCTTAAAATAGTTTGAGTATTCAAAAGATAAATCTGCAGATCCCTGGAAACCTCACCTTTGCGGAAGAGCTTCCCAGGGATTCTAGAGAGCTGATGTTTTGCTTTATTTGTGGCTGGTACATAGTTGTACGGACCCTCCATCTCTGTAGCAGCCTCTACAAACACTCCTGGAAACTACCTCTGTATCCCATTGACGAGATTCTCTAACCAGAGGCCAAACCAGCCAGGCAAAGAAAACCACGTGGGGGAGTGGGTAGGGGACGCACAGTGTGGACACGCTCATCTGGCAGAGAGCCTTCTCAGACGCAGCCACCGCCTAGCAGCTGGGGAGGCAGCTTGGGAAAAACCAAGTTCCTTCACACTTTTAAATAAGCAAAACAGCAAATTTTAATATAAAGAAAGTCTAACAGAAAGCAGCACAAAGACTATCCATGATCAACACCCCTTACTTAATACACCGATGCCTGCCACGGGCCACATACTAGAGGTCTCTAAGATGACTAAGATGCAGACTCTGTTCCCCAAGGAGCTCAGTCTTGTGGGAGCTACAGCCACCTAAGAATTCCCAGGTGTGGCATCTTCAACGTTCTCAGGAACAAGCCAGTGTTCTATGACTCCAAGATCACCCAGTGTGATCAGGCTATATTCTTTCTGCCTTAAACACTCTCCCTCCTACCTGCCCCCCACCTCCTTTGAGTGACTGGGTCTACCATCCTTCTGGCCTCTGCGCAGATGTCACCTCCTCTGGAAGGCCATAGCAACCCAGACACTTTCTTCATAGCACATACCAACTGCAATGGTATAGCTGTCTCTTTAATGCTCACTCCTCCCTTTAGGTGTAAGCCTCACGACGCAGGGGTTGTATCTGTTTTGGCCATTACCTTATGTTCCCATGGCCAATCACAGTGCCTGACCCACAGACAACCAGTAACAGTTTTTATAATTCATTGCACAACAGTTAGCAGAGGCATCTCTCCAGGGTAAGGATACCAGGGAAAGTTTAAGGAGCTCCTGCCAAACGTCAAAGTCACTGATAGGAAGAACCAGCAATACATGAAGGAAACCAAATAAAAACCATCAGCCTCGTAGAAATAGAGCTCTTCTTGGTTTCCTTTCAAGATCACGTTCCACGATGACTTAGGCCTCTTACCTACGCAGAATCGGGACAGCAGGTTGAGTGGGTAAGTTCAGTCATAAACACTTAACTCTGAGTGGTTTGCGCTGGGCTGTCCAAGTCTATGTCGCATTCAGTGGCCTCTTCTGAGGGACACAGCCCTGCAGAGGGGGCTTCCCCAGAGAGCACGTGACCCACCTCCTGTGTAACCTTCCACGGCAGTTGAGCAACTCTGAGGTGGCTGGTTGCAGTGACCGAGCCAGGCTCCTCGGACACACTGGTGTTCTGGTATTCAGCCTTACCCAGTCCAATGTCAATTTAAAAAGAAAAAAACATGGAAGGAACAGAAGCTGATTGCTTGTAAAACAGGGCTACCACTTATTATTTTCTCAGGATGTCATCAAATGCAGCTTGGAAAAAAAAGGAAATGTTTGCTAAGAAGCAGAAGGGGTCGTAGCAAGCCCAACTCCTGGGCAAGGCCACAGTGTCAGGGAAGAGTGACTATAAAGCAGCAGAGGACGACGGCCAGGGAGAACAGAGTTGCACAGGGAGAGAACAGACGCCATGGGGACACCCTCTGCGTGGCTCACAGCAGGGAGGCCAGAGCTGCTGCAGGGACAGACGCTCTCCCAGTTCCAGCTACACACAGCCTCACAGGGAAACTGTTTTCTTTCCTTCCCTTGAGGAAACACGTCTCTTGCTGTTGACAGAGCCCAACTGAGATACACCTGTGTGGCTCTGACTCCCTCCGCAGAGTCCCAGCCTTAAAATGGCACCTGTGTTTCATGAATCTGGCAAAGGTCAGGCAGGGGCCTCGGACCAGGTCTTTCACGCTGGCATATACACATGCACCTTCTGGGTCCCCTTGAGACGAGAAAGAGGAAGGCAGTGACAATCAGACTTGGCGTCCTCTGCCGCTCCACCACCTGTGTGCCCACGTGGGATGGAAGGACAGCTCCCGCCCCGCCCTTCACAGTTGCCAACGGGGGACACGGTGCAGGCTGAACAAAGGGAGGAGTGGAATGGAAAACACATTTTAAAAATTGAATAATAGGTCAAGTAGGTAATTAGTATTTGATATTTAAAATTAGAGGGGTCTTGAAATTCTGATTCAGTTACTTGGAAAGAAACCAAAAACAGAAGAAAATAAATGATAACATGAGGATATAAGTGTTAGGCACTAGTGAACTGTACATTTGTACCTTCAAAGGAATAAAAGTGGAGAAATTAAAGAACAGGAAAGACATGGGAAAGATCTCAGTATCTTCAGAGGTTTAGTTGTTTTTTTTTTTTGTTTTTTTTTTTTTTAAAAAATCCACCACCACAGTTAAGGGTTAAACTAAAAGGGCTCATTTCCAAATAAATGTAAAGTGGGCTCATTAAATCATCACAAGCTGCAATTTGAAACAGAAGTAATTTACCCCTCACAGCTGTCACATGGTTAACAAATACTAAATGTATAAAAATGAAACCTTTTGTCCTCATTACATTCAATGATTTCATGTTTTGCTTTTTAGGATAAACAGTAGACAATACCCTAAAGTAGAGCATCCTCTCTAGAAAGTTAAGAACTAGTCTTTGTTTATTTGCTTTATATTAACAGGTCTTGCTGTCTTCTCTGAAACAACCATACTCTAGTGTACCCAGCTTCCAGGGCTGCCAGATACTCTTTCCCCACTTACTTTGACCACTGAAACAAGGACATTATCGGAAAATTGTATAGTTATCAATGTCTGTAAACTTAATATTGACATAATACTTTGACATAAGCTACCGTCTGTATTCCTATCTTGTGAACTGATCCAATAATGTCCTTATAGCATCCAATCCCAAATTTTAGATACCGAGGTTCTCAATAGCTGTCTTCTTGCTTCCAAGCATGCCCCTGCTCCGCCAGTGATTTGACTTCTGTACCTTCCCATGCCTCTGGGCTCAATGATGCTTATGTGGAAAACACTTACATAATGGCTTTTGCAGAGAGTGCACCTATTTTGGCTATAATACAGAT